AATCCCGATCCTGCCGCCTACATATTTGGATTTTTCTCCGTGTACTCCCTTTTTTCCCTCCACATTTATAATCAACATGCGTTTAGAGTATTCGGCCGCAATAAACTTCCACGTGTTAAGCCCAATTCGTTGAGCTATCATTTGTGATAGCCAGATCGCTTCAGGAAAAGAGCTATTTAGCTAAGTGATAAAATAAAAAAATTGTTTAGTTTCAGTGAACCATAAGTATTCACCATCTGCTTCACAGTGACATCATTCGCAAAAGAGGAGGTGACGTGTCAGCGTCAACGGTTCAAATTTGTAAAATGACTCGCAAGTTTACTGACTTTGGTAAAACCACAAAGCAGCGTTGACCCTTAACGCCAGACTTACCTGCCGGTGAAGCACACTGCCCACGGATTTATCCTCGCACTTTGAGAATGGCACGAAAGAGCACAATCAGCTCGTTATTATGATGATGACGACGACGATGATGATCAAATGCAATCACACGGAGTTGTGTAATTAGACTTCGCCATCGTCAGTGCGATCGGTGGCGGCATTAATTACGAAGCTTTCTGTCAATTCTTGCCCCTTATATTCTGGAACATTATGGAGACGAATGCTGTGATCAGCCAAGCTTTCTGGGGGGGGTTAAATTATGAAGAAAAGCATTCATATTAATGCTTACCTTGCAGGCTAATGGGGAGGATGGGTGGAACAAAAAATGCCATTAATATTTTAAAAGGCGAGAATAATTGAAGCCTTTATTTCCAGCCATGAGAGGGACAGTGACTGTCCTGCAAGGGAGGCCCGGCCTCAGGTACCGGAGACAAAATGACACAAGAGGTGCCACTAATGTGACACCGTTGGTTGGCAACCAATGAAAATGAGTAATGAGTGCAGCAGCAGCAGTAGCAGCAGCGCGTTTGCACAAGCAAATGAAGTGTATTCTTTGTTTGCGGAATTAATTTGTTGTTGTTCTTGCTTTGCTCTCCTATCTTATTAACGAGCTCCCCGGTACTCCTTCTCATAACGCCGGCCGGTGCTTGCGTCGCTGTTGCGCCCGCCGCTAATGAGGCCCAAGAGGCAGCCTTGAGCCTCGGCCCAGCGAGCTTGGAGGCTTCGTCAAATCCGGTGTCATTGTCCACGTGGCAGTGGCTACATTAAGTAGATAAATGTACACCTCCATAATAGAGGTTTTTTTGGGTTAGATTGCATAAATATATAAATGTACTCTTAGTTTTTTCGGTAAAGTCACGTAGGTAAAAAATGAAATTAAAATTAATAAAAAATAAAAGCCTCCTGCGTGATTTTTATTATTTTATTTTTATTAATTTTAATTTCATTTTTTACCTACGTGACTTTACCGATAAAAATAAGAGTATGAATCCTTGCAGTCACGAAAGCTTCAAATCTAGAATATATAAATGTGTCGTTAAAACCCGCCACCACCCGACACAGCCAACTAGTGAGGTTTGTCACGTAAACAGAACGTGGCCAATTCGTCACTGGTACAGCAACACCGGTGTGTTGGAGAGCCAAGCCACAACATTTACAATCTGAGCACGACGTTTCGCCAGTAATTACAACTAGCTTCATCTTACTAGTTGGCTGTGTCGGGTGGTGGCAGGCTTAACGACACATATATTTACGCAATCTAACCCTAAAAAAACCTCTATTATGGATGATATTGGTCGCGAAAGCCTCCTGTGTGCTAAACTGTACACCTGTAACGGTGGAGGAGGATGGAGGAGATGGTGAGGAGCAAACTATCAAATAAGACAATTGGCTCCTTTTTTATGTTTTCCTCAGCGGGACGCAGTTGCCCGCAACTTTGGTTTCTCTTGCGAGTGTCGCTTCGCAGCAACGGTCACAGCAGCTGCCACCTCTGAGGTGCAAATAAAATCGGGACATCACAATGTCACGGGAGGAAGACTCACGTCACAATTTGACGGAAGATTGGAGAACGTCTACACGAGTTGCGCATGACTACACGATGTTGTCGGTCGCCTCGGTAAACGGAACGATCCTGGAATATAGCCAGCATGGCGACGGTGGGGGTAACGTCGTCCTCAAATTGTAAATGTTGTGGATTTACTCTCCAACACACACCGGTGTGCTGTACCGGTGACGCATTTGGCACGCTCTGTTTACGTGACAAACATTGCCAATTGGCTGTGTCGGGTGGTGGCGGGTTTAGCGACGCGTTTATATTTACGCGATCTAATCTAAAAAAATAACCCCTCGTCTGTGATGAATAATATCGGTGGCGAAAGCCTACTGTGAAACTAACAGTGGGGAATGTTGACCATTGGCCCTACCAGGCCACAGGCCTTATAGTTGCTAGGTAACGGCACCCGGAGGAGCAGCTGCTGCTGATGTAGCCGAGAGAAAAGAGGCCTTTAGCTCACGGAGGTCACATTGTATGAATACAATAATGAGCCCTTTAGCCAAGAAAAGCCTCAACGAGTCACAAAACTCGTTTTTTCTTTTTCTTCTCATTAATAAGTCTTAACACGGTGGGTTTTGGTCGGTTCTGTATGAACGATTGCTTGGCTGATGGGAGTAAACTTACAGTGCCCCGAGAAAACCCAAACACATAAGGGAGTAACGCCCGGAGCTCTGCACGGTAACATTCGGCAGCATTACTACACACGAGGTGATTTGTAGACGGCATACCTGTCAACCCCATATCGGTGCCTACCTTATTACAGACAAATTCAGGCCTTATTGGTCACCCCGTGTGCTTATACATCTCAACGTTCATCCTACAAAGTCCCATCACAAGGGAGAAACACAAACAAATCGACAAAACATTTATATTTTGCCCGTATTGGAACGGCTGTACGTCGTATGGCCCTGAAAACTAAATTTCCCTGTACAAAAATACTGGGTAAAACGTGTGGGTTGACAGTTATGAGACAGAAAAAAGGTGCAATTGTCAATCACGTGAAGCTTGGTCTCCTTTCAGTGCTCCCTTGCACATCGCGTGACCAAAACAAACCACACCGCACGAGTTTTAATCCACAAAATTCATCATTGTGGCCGAAGAGTAAAATCGAGGTTCCTATTACAAACCAAACCAAGCTCATTAATGTGGCTGCCCGCTTCCAAACCCTCGCCCAGGAAGAAGATCAGCCTTTCAAGGGAAAGTGACACAAACCACCGGCAAAAAAAAAAATCTATCCGTAAAAGACACACTGTGAATAATTCATCGCAGCGCTTTGAGTGTCACCATCATCCCGGCCTTATCGTCTCCAGAGCCCACTCGATCCTCCCGTGTCTGCTCTTTCCGAGACCACCACACGCAGACAGACACTGGACTTTATTGTTCGAATTCCTTGACCCCATTTTCTTGTAAGTCATCGGCCGTTCGTTGACTAGTGGAGTAATCATGCCGCCCAAATTATTAATATCCTCTGGATTATAAGACGCTCCAAAACGGGAATTTTACATTCCCGACACCTTTGGCATCTTCTTGGTTCTTTCGGTAAAGTCACGTAGAATGGAAATAATAAAAAAAATACAAATAAAACATAATAAAATAATTCTCACGACGTTTCAGCCACAACACAAGTAGCCGTCCTCAGGTGGAGAACAGGTCTGTCGAGGAGACAGACTCTGTCTCTGACTCTGTCTCCTCGACAGACCTGTTTTCTACCTGAGGACAGCTACTTGCGTTGTGGCCGAAACGTCGTGAGAATTATTTTATTATATTAAAATTTTATTATTTTATTATTTCCATTCTACGTGACTTTACCGAAAGAACCAAGAAGATGAATCCCTGCAGTCACGAAAGCTTTAAGTCGACCTTTGGCATCGTTTTGAGATACGAAAAAGGGGAAAGTGGGAAAAGAATTATTTTTATATATAAATGTATTAAACCAATCGAGTGGAGTCTGGGAATAAAAGTTCATCTTATAATCGTGAGAATATGATACAAGTCCGACAGGAATAAATATATTAGTTAGAATTCACGGAGACATTAAAATGGGATCTCTTTATCAGTTGAATATATGATAATAATAATTCACACCCCGTCCACGATAATTCAATGAATTGTTGTGATTCGGGGTCACGATTCGATTCAAGAATGGATTCTTGTTTGTCTCATTTCTCCCCATCCCGATTATGTTCTTTTTCGTTTGTTTCGTCTCGCATGTCCAGTTAATGTTGCTCCTTTGACTAAATGTAGCATTGGCATGAACTGTAGATAATCCATCCTTACACGCACGGTTCAAAGCAAGTATCAGGAATATTGCGGTTTAAACACTTTAAATGAATACATTGATTCGTTGCTACCTGCCTATAACCCTAATAACAATGGAACATCATTTTTTTATTTCATCTCTTTGTCAATTGACTGTCGGATGAAGTCCTCCCAAATCTATTGTCAGTCTTCGGAGTTGTTTGGCCTCACTTCACCACGCTGGTCAGGGCAGATCTATAAAAAGCGAGGCAATGTGTCATTGTCTTTACGTGGAGCAGAGGTGGGGTTATTCAGGAGTTAGCGCACTGGGCCACAATCCCAGAAACTCTGGGTTCATTTGCTAGCTATGATGCACAACATCGGTGTCAACTAGAACATGACCTTGTCTGAGTCTCCACTAGATCGAGTCAGCATGAATGACCGCCGGTTGTTATCGCGTTGCTATCGTTGCGCCCCGAGGTTGGCCTTAACAGGTGCTCACTCGCGGCTATGTAGGGTTTTGTCACCTCTGAAATAAAAAAAAAACGAAACGGGACGTATCATGGGAAGAACATTTCAGAATACCGGAAGAGGTGACAACCACCTATAAGCAAGTCATCTTGAGTGGCGTGTTATTACTATGCAACTGTCAACAACCGTGGCTTTTAGTGTCGTGAGAAGATGTATAGACTTCCCTGGACAGCAGCTACTTCAATAACAAGAGGTCCGAGGAAAACCAGGGCAGGTGGCAACACCCAACCGAGAGAAGTGAGAGTTTGCTAATGGGCACTTTGCTGTTGCTGTTGTCGTCGTCGTTGTCTGAACCCAGGACCCAGCATGCGCGCGGGAAGATGGAGGCGGCAGACGCAGCGGCACACGCAGCCCAGGAGGCTTCGAAACTGGCGCGGATGATCTCCAAGGAGCTCGCGCCCACGTTCCACCAGCCAGGTACAGCAACAACAACAACAACGACGCAGCGTCGTGCACGCACGCGTGTACGGATTGTCGCTCGCACACACAGTGCCATCACGTGCAGAGTACAATGCTGCGTCTTACACGCAGCGTGAAGGATAGAGCGTCTCACACAGCAATGCGCAGAGGCCATCACACGCACGCTGACAGCTTCACATACATCACGCACAACAATAACAACAAAGATTCCCCCGTATAGCCTTAATAGACTTTTTGGAAAGGTGCTGTTAAGAAGCACATGTGAAGGCCGGCACGGCACACGATGAGGTGGGTGGCCAACACCACGCCCGGCCGCCTTAATCTCCCAAGTGGCAGTGTTTACACACCGCACCAGGTACTCATTTGAGACTGAGTCGACATAGGGGAGGCCCAGGACCGGTTCTGATAATCATCGCCAGTGTTGGCCGTGTGCGGGAATCGAACTCGGGTAGCACAGTGACTTGACACCACACACACACAGATCTGCACGACAACATCGACGTGGTGCCATGAGCATCCTCCGACGGTGCAGCAAAAGCGGCGTTGTCATGGCAAATAATCAGTGATTGACGGCGCAGGCTCTAATTGGTGCCCTAAGCCGTCACGGGTGATGCACGTTTAACGTATCGACCGCGTTTTAACAATGCCGCACCACATTGTTCTCGACCGATGTCTGACGAATTAATTTATAAAGCAAAACTACCCCGGGGGATTTTTGTCTTTCAATCGAAACGCGCGCTTGACACCCGGTCATCTCGCTTGGGCGCGGGCGAGACGAGAGGACCTCGAACGGGAAGGAAGTAAAAACAAAAACACAAACAACCCGCGGTGCGTCCGCGTTTACCGAGCGGCAGAACGCGAGCGAATGCACCTGCGGGTGGGTGCGGATCAAAGGTCCTCGCGCTGAGCGGAATTTTGATCAGGGAGCCTGAGGCTGTTTAATAAACGAGCAGCGCGTTGACCCGGCTCGTTAAAACTCGTCCTTAATTGGAGCGTTTAGCACTCGCCCGGCAAGTGCCGGCGGTGGCCCGCGTGTTTTCTACCCCTTCGCCCGTTGCGCGTAATTTTGGACGGAGAATTGGCGACGTGAATTTTGAGCAGAGGTCGTGCCACGTGATCGCAAGGGGCCCCCAATTCCGTTCCGCGGTCACGGTGTCGGTATTGATTACGGCGCCAGGCGACGCACCTGCCCTCGTGCGCCCCCCCCCCTCCTCCCCCCAGCCTTGCTCGCGCGACAAGACATCAAAGGGCAGCTTCGTTCGCACAAACGTCGCATCCTGTCCTGGTGGGCAGGAGACCCTTTTGGAATGTAATAATGATGCCATTCATTTATCCAGGAAGGCCTCAATGTATGTATCTATCCAGCAAACACTTGATTTGGCTTTCTCTTTCTACAAATATCTCAGGAGGTTCCTAATCGCTGTGTTCAGACACTGAGCGAGGCCAGCACCACTGAGATGGTGTGTTTGAATCCAAGGCCCTAATTATAATATATATTGGGGGGGGGCACATCCCCCCCCCCCCCCCAATATTCAAAGATGCTCAAAATGTCCCCCGCCAATATATTGCTATAAAATAGATTTCTGTTTTTATGCTTGTGGTTATGGTTGTACTTTATTAATCCATAATCTTTGCCATTACATACAATGAAACAAGAAAAGGTAAAAAATGTAAACAGAGCAATGTAATACAATACACTATTAGACATAAATAAAAAGTCCATCCTATGTGTTAGTGATTTTTAAAATATTTTAGGCAGGAAATGGCAGGAACTTCGTTTTTGATTTGATATTTTTTTCTGGGGGGGGGACCCCCAGACCCCCTGGAACATTTGGTCCCCCCCCAAAGTTGACTCCATAGCTACGGCCTTGCTTGAATCTAACAATAGGGCGTGTGGGTCTATCTTTGACCTGGCTCACAATCGCCGCATCAGTGACACTGACCGACCAAGCCCACTGCCGACGATCCCTGCGTTTGCCTGGCCTTTTAATGCCTAAATGTGTGGGGCCGAGACGGACAGGCGTGCATCTAATAACACCTCAGCGGGGGCGCCCTGAGTATCTCACGCTCCTGTTCCATCAACCGCTTCGGGACGCCGCCCAACTGTGCCTTGAGTCGCGGCCACGTCGAACCAAACAGCGCGCCGCGTCGTTCAACCACCTGCATCATTGGCCCGGCCCCGCTCTCCGGCAGGCGCAACTCCCGAAGCTGTTATCGCGCGGCTCACAAACTAAAAACCAGGGACGTGTAAAGTCCACGTACTTGCCATTCACGGGAAGAAAAAGAATAGGGTGCTCATTGCCAAATTTAGCGAGGCACAGCTCCGGGAAGGGTGGCCTGTGTGGTGCACGTACCAGGCAGACATTTAATGAACCAACGGAGAGGCACGCGCAACTGTGTCAATGATTTTAAAAAGATCATTCTCAAGTAATTGTCTTATATAGTTTTTTAAAACCTCTTACGTTCTTCACCGCGCGTGGCAGCCGTGATGTTTACACTCAAGCCTGCCGGAAAACGCTTTAAAACTGGGCCGGAATTGCAAAGAGCCGGGAGGGGGAACGTGGGGGGGTAGGAGGTGGGAGCAGGGGAGGTGGTGGGGGGGTGGTACTAGAATGCTCCGTGAGCTCGATTATTTTAGCTTCGTTGTGCTAGGCCCCGTGATTTATGTTATTAACGGTAACCAAAAACACGGAGGCTGCGTGGCAAAATGCTTGTAAATTGAGTTACTGCGGCTGTTCCTGCTGCTGCTGCTGCCACCGCTGCTGCTGCTGCCGCTGCTGCGCTTGGCTGTAAGCAGGCCTAGCTCCCAGTAGCGCGTTCCCAGCAGCGTGCGCCACGCGTCTGTCCCAGATTTAGTCCGTGGGCCAGAGGATACATTAGTCACCAGCTTTAGTAGGACCAGTTTATTTATACGGCTAATGAGGCTGCATTAGATAACCAGCGAATCAACGAATAACCCACTCACTTCAAGTGGTTATCGCGTAATTCACTGTTATCGGTCACGTAAAGAAATTGAAATCGCGAGAGTCATGTCATCTCAGGTGGTACCAACAAGTGAAGTGTTTGGTGTGGGGCTCATAAACTAATACAAGGGAGTATTGTGTGGAGGAGAAGCTGCCATTGTGTTACTGCAGGGGTCAGGAATCTTTTTGACTGGGAGAGCCATAAAAGCCAAATATTTCTAAATATATTGCATTGAGAGCCATATAGTATTTTTAATGTATAATAAATTAAATGTCTTACTTTTAATGCGACTTCTGGTGCTGCATGGTTTTGCTGATGGCCTTGTAGTCTGGTTCATACGTGGTGAGGTTGAGCTTCGTGCAGGCGTGACCCGTGAAATTTATCTTCAAAACTAATTTCTGTTTACTTCAAAATGACACACTATTATTAAGCAATATCACAAGTATTTTAAAATTAGTTCCAAACTGATTTTTTTTCAACTCAAAATTGTCTGGGAGCCATATGCCGTCACCGGAAGAGCCATATATGGCTCGCGAGCCATAGGTTCCCGACCGCTGTGTTACTGTGTTCTCTGGATGTTTCGATGCTCCAGAAAGTAAGACACACCCCGAACCTCTCCCTGGTGTCAACGCAGTTCTACAAATCTGGCCTCACACGCACACACAGAAGCATTTACTGCATTACAATCGGCACCCCCAACAGTGGGTCTTATATTGCTGAGAATACGGTATTGGACTTGCAGTCCATTGAGCACAATGGACTTGCAATCCAGAGGTTCACCGGTTCGATTAGATCTTTGGACGCGGCAGTTCAAGCGGTGTTGCGAATTTCTCAAATCCCCCATCGCCCCTGTCCACTCAGCGGTGTAGACGATTGCACCGTGATCGATCTCCAGGCTGCGTGTGGTGGGGTACGAGTACTGACACCTCAAGCCATCTCGAATTGTTACCACTTTGTGGGCAGTCGACAGTCGCTGTGGTCATCATCGTCGTCGTATGGTAGGAACGAGGAATTCCCACCAACCACCGCCGGCTCTGGGCTGTCAACAGGAGAAGAGAATCGCCTAATGAAGACACTCTGACTTTCTAAATCACCATCACCACCGTCATCACGATCATCATCGTCATCACTGTGCCCACGTTCTCGCCCACGTGCTCGTGCTGGTGGTGGCCGGGCACCGCGGCCGGGAGAGAGAGCGCGCGCAGATGCCCCCGCGCCTCGCCCCCGGGCTCGTCTCCCGGTGACCTTTCCTTCGCGACGTAGGCACCTGCCACCGGGCACCGCGCATGCAGACCATGACGAGTCTGCTCCCCTCCCCGGCGTTTCGCGTGACCCCTTTCTGCCACGTGCCGCTCATTCCCGGCGCGACGTCTCGCCGGGTCCCTGCAAATAACTCTGCTGCTGCTGTTGCGCGTTGTCGTATACTCCATGCTGCAGGAACGCGAGTGGTTTTGCGGTCACGTGGCGGATATTGCAGGTGTCAAGGAAAGCAATCGCTCGCACTCTAAACTCCCGCGAGAAATAAAAAAAAAACACACACACAACACTGGCACAGATGATACAATATCCAGCAGTGTGTGTATGTAAGGATATTGAACTTCTTTCATCTCAGTCAGTCGACCCGTGGCACCTGGGTCTGACCCGTGACCTACTGGCAGCGGGCGTTCGACACTTCACGTGGCCTCAACGTGCACATAGCCTGGCACAAGCGCCAAGGTGACGCCACTGCCACTTAGCGGCGAATGGCGGTGGTTGTTGTTGTTGAACTTCTGTTGCACCGTACTGTGCAAATTGGAAATGGGTTGCGCGTATACATTCACCGTGGAAATGGTTTAACCCTCTCGTCGGTAGATGAGACTTTATTTTCTCTTTGCGGAAAGACTCCCTGCAGCCATGACAATGCGCAATTTTTCGGGGCTGCGACCGTGGTGACTGGAGACTTTGGCTCGACAATTAAAACCAAGCCTGTATGTTTGTATGTTGAACTTCTATCGCACCGCACATAGCCACCCGCGCTAATCAGAGGCGCTCCTTTGATCCCTTCTTAGACCAGCACTAATAACGCAGATGCTCGTCGCATGACAGTGTCAAATGAAATGGTTGTCGCAAGTGGGTTGATGGATTCACGACAGGCCGAGATGATTGATGTGTTTTTTTTTACTTATGAACCAAGTGTGTTCATGGATTGAATTTTGATGAGTTGGCATTAACAATGTCTGTGCAACATAATGCAGATATCAAACTCCCGAACACAACCCATTATAAAACATCTGTGCTTTGAACTTATTCAAACGCAACATCAATGTAAAGCCTGCAAGGACAACAACAAAAACAAATTGTGCATTGTATAAAAACAAGGCGTAAACAGTGAGAGTGCAATTCAACTAAATAGACACGTACAAACATTTAAATTAATTCGCCTTTTTAATAGCCGAACAATCTACTGCGCCAGATGCTCGCGGTTGCGCCGTGTAGATCTCCGACGTGTTTTTTGGGTTTCGCCGAAAATAATTCGCCTGGAGCTCTCAGGACGTGGAGCAAAACGTCGGACAACCTGCCGAACGGTATGCGGAAACCCGCCCCCCCCCCCTATCCACAATGCGTATGGCACTGCCCGAACACGCGTGAGGGGGGACCGATCCGAGCGGGGCTCAGCGCAGGCCACGGGTGAACACAACTGGTTGTTGGGGTTGCTGTGTTTTTCTTTTTGACGTCGGTCAACAAAAACTAAAATAATGACGGAAAGGGTGAAGGGGACAATAAAAAGATGAAAAGGCTGGCGGTGTAACTGACAAAGTGCCCCTTCCCAGATTCCGTTTCATGTTCGACTGTAAAAAGTTGCGCGGCTGAAACTGAGCGCTGATCAAAAGCAGGCCGGGTAGGAGATGGGGTAGGGAGCTGGGAGGTGGGTGGGAGGCGGTGAGTGTGGGGAGGTGGGTGGCAGGCGGTGAGTGTGGGGATGTGGGTGGCAGGCGGTGAGTGTGGGGAGGTGGGTGGGAGGCGGTGAGTGTGGGGAGGTGGGTGAGAGGCGGTGAGTGTGGGGAGGTGGGTGGCAGGCGGTGAGTGTGGGAGGTGGGTGGCAGGCGGTGAGTGTGGGGAGGTGGGTGGGAGGCGGTGAGTGTGGGGAGGTGGGTGGAGGCGGTGAGTGTGGGGATGTGGGTGGCAGGCGGTGAGTGTGGGGAGGTGGGTGAGAGGCGGTGAGTGTGGGGAGGTGGGTGGAGGGGGGTGGCAGGCGGTGAGTGTGGGGAGGTGGGTGGGAGATGGTGAGTGTGGTGGGTGGGTGGGAGGCGGTGAGTGTGGGGAGGTGGGTGGCAGGCGGTGAGTGGGGGGAGGTGGGTGGGAGATGGTGAGTGTGGGGAGGTGGTGAGAGGCGGTGAGTGTGGGGAGGTGGGTGGCAGGCGGTGAGTGTGGGGAGGTGGGTGGCAGGCGGTGAGTGTGGGGAGGTGGGTGGCAGGTGGTGAGTGTGGGGAGGTGGGTGGCAGGTGGTGAGTGTGGGGAGGTGGGTGGCAGGTGGTGAGTGTGGGGAGGTGGGTGGGAGGTGGTGAGTGTGGGAAGGTGGGTGGGAGGTGGTGAGAGTGGGGAGGTGGGTGGGAAGCGGTGAGTGTGGGGAGGTGGGTGAGAGGCGGTGAGTGTGGGGAGGTGGGTGGGAGGCGGTGAGTGTGGGGAGGTGGATGGGAGGCGGTGAGTGTGGGGAGAGGGGGGGTGCTCAGTGCCAGAGCCCAGACTGAGGAATCTGCCGAGCGGTCGCAACTTGAGACTTCTCTCTCTCTCTGTCTCTCTCTCTCTGCGGACGATCCTCCTGCCTAATTAAGAGCCCTGCGGCAGATTGGACCGACTCAGAGGGGCTAATTTGACGATCTTCGCGACTGCCGGAGTTGCGCCCGTCCCGGCGGGCGCAGCGCCAGGCCGCCCTCTGCTCTCGTTAAAATCACGAAAGCCGACGGCGCCGCCGCTTCCTCGCGAAACACCGCGCTGCAGAAGGTGCGAGGAGGCGGGGGAGTTTGGCTGTTGGGGGCCAATCAAGCGGTGGGCATCTCAACATTTCCACACGGCGGTGGTGAGAGGCTCGGGCGGAAGCCATGCTCGAGAAGAGCGGGCTGCATCGTCAATCAACCTGTTTAACGTTTCGTCTGACATTTGTTTAAAGTTTGTTTGACGTAGACTGTCGTGCCCGCCGCCGCTCTCCACAGAGTTGTTGTAACCCCCCCCCCCCCCCCCACTTTAAACAAGGTCGCACTGCAGAGCTGGCAGTGAGGTGCGCAGGTTGCTTTGGAGGTCAGAATTCTGATCCGGCAAACGCTGAGATTCCAGATTCCCAGGTTCCAGCCACCGCTCGTGGTAAAGCCCGGGGCTCTCAAGGTGCAGCGGGTCAGAAAAGCGCCGAAACATTCAATTAGGAATTTCAATCGGGTTCATTTCAAGTGCCAAGGATAAAAAAAATATCGGCTCGACTGTAACGTGGCGAACATTTGTCTCGTAGCAAGCAGGGCTTGTGGGGAAGCATGCCCGAGCATGTGGATAGAAAATAAAGGGTGACTTGATGGTATCTCAGAAGTAGTTACGTGAAATCTGCTTCCAACGGTTCCATTCTCTAAACCCAGTATGATGACGCCGGCACTGCTCGAGACCCGAAGGGACACTTGGTCTCATGACAGGACACTGAGAGCTCAATGTGAGTAGAAGGGCACGGGCACTGCCACGTGGCTTAGCACTGACCCCTGACCTTTCAGATCCACAATTAAACGGCAAAACATTCACGGTCGTCATCGCCACCATCAGCATCCCACTTCCTCCCGAGTCCATCATCATCATTAACATCACCTCGGAAATTGGCAAAACATGTCTCAACATTGGCACCACATTGTGGAGAGTCAACAAGTGTGAGAACGAGTCCCCACCAGGACGTGGAATTCCCGCGTCTGGCTCAGAGCCCCGAACAGTGTCGCTCCGCTGCATCAAGATATAATTCGAGCATGCAGGCAGTGTCACTTCAGCTCTTCGTATATGGCCTGGATAGTACTTGGATGCGTGACCACCGCCACCACCGCCGCCACCATGCACTTGCCGATATGTGTCCTCTCTCTGTGTGTCCTTGTGATGTCTGTCTGCTTGTATGTCTGTCTATAGTTTTCTAGTTAGATTTTTGTTGCTATTTCCTTTATGCCTGATGATGATTGCTTGTGTTGCAATCGAAACGTCGTAATAATATGCTATTATTTAATTTTTTATTTTATCTTTAGACGTGACTTAACCGAAAGAACCAAAGAATAATTCCTGCAGTCACGAAAGCTCCAAAATTTAAGTATTATAGGCATTCGCAAGACTACGTCGTGGGCAACAGAGGGCAGTGCGGCTAAATATATTGCTGTACTGCACTTCTGTGTTCTCTTGTCGTTCATCCATCGCATTCGTCAACGCACACCAGCCAGCGTGGTAGTAAAGTCCGGTCAAAAAAACCTCATTACCGCGTGGTATGGAGAGGCCCTCAGCCAGCAGTGTGCTGACTTCTGGACATGTGAAAAAGATCTTTATAGCTCTTCTTGGTTCTTTCGGTAAAGTCACATAGAAGGAAAAAAAAACATACTAAAATAATTATTTTAATATGCTTTGTTTTATTATTTTATTATGTTTAATTTTTATAATTTTATTACTTCCCTTCTACGTGACTTTACCGGAAGAACCAAGAAGATGAATCCCTGCAGTCACGAAAGCTTTAAATCTAAGCTTTATAGCTCATCAGATTCCTCCGGCATAAATAAATATTTTGATTCGGCCTGGCACACATGATACAATATCCAGCAGTGTATGTGTGTATGTTGAACTTCTTTTGCACCGTGCTTGGCCAACCGTGCAAATGGGAGGTTGCGGGGCAATGGGCTGCGCGTGTACATTCACCGTGGGAATGGTTTAACCCTCTCCTCGGTAAATAAGACTTTATTCTCTCGTGCGGACAGACTCGCTGCAGCCATGGCAATGCGCAATTTGCATCTCTGGCTCGGCGCTGCCACCACGGTGACTGGGGCTTTAAAATTAAAACCCGTCCTCACTCCCACGGCTCTCTCTGCCTGCACGCCAGGACTGGAGTACCACAAGCAGCGGATCATGCGCGACGCCGCGGACAGCGACGACCACCTTCCGGCGCTGCCCGAGCACGCCGACGAGCGTCACGGCGGCGGCGGCGGCGGTGGCGGCAGTCACCACGACGAGCAGTCCAGCCCTCGCTTCTGCCGCCAAGACGTGACGGCCGACGGCACGCCGGTCCACACGCCCCCGCCCAGTCCCAGGTCGGCCGCTCGCGGCGTCGGCGGCAGCGGCGGCGGCGCCGGCAAGCGGCGGCTCGGCTCCGGCTGGAAGGAGGGCCGCAGCCACCACCTGACGGCGTACGAGTCGGCCACGCAGGGCCTCCAGCGGCGCGCCGGCGGCGCCGAAATGTTCGCCGACTTCCACAGCTACCCCGTCGCCACGGTGACCGGACCGCTGCCCGACGACTTCGAGCAGGAGGAGGAGACGCCGTCGCCGGTGTCGCCGTTCGCGATGCGGCGGACGCCGTCGCCCGTCCCGCCGCCCATCGCCGCCAGCACCCCAAAGCAGGACGACGAGGACGAGGAGGAGGGCGCCAACGAGGTCGGGGTGGGCGCGCCGGACGAGGAGGGAGCGCGGGAGGACGGAGGATCGCCCGCGGAGCAGGGAGCGGCGACGGCGAACGGAGCGCAGCGCCAGCTGCAGCGGCGGCAGCAGCAGCAGCAGCAGCAGCAGGCCGAGGTGGTGACCCCGGATGGGTCTGTGGAGCCGGAGGTGGTGGTGGAGGAGGTGGTTGAGTACGTGCAGTCGGACCAGGTGAGCGAGCGAGCGAGCGGGCGGGGGGAGCGAGCGTGTGCCCGAGTCGGGAGCTGTTTTTCTGTTTCAATTCTCACGTGCATGGCAGTGGTGCTTACCCTCCTTCCGATCGTCGCCCAGAGTCAGTCGTGGAAATTGCACGTTCCTATGGCGAGGGGTCAGTTTATCCATAGAACCACGGTTGACCTTCAACAGAACGGTACTCGTTGATGCAAGTTCAAATCCCGAGCGGGATTTCAACTTGCATCCTTCCAATTGAAGGCCACATTTTCTGCCTGACCTCGAGTTTCTCTTACTCGGTTCCTCTCAACCTACCGCGGTGCATCCCACCGAGTTTACTCGCTCACCTCCTATCACGTGCTCATTAGGTCGTTGCACGCTGCACGCGCCTGCTGATTGCCAAACACATCCCAAGTGATGTAGAGAGTGCCGATTGAAATTAAGATAGAGGATGTTGCGTACGCGTGCATGCGTCCGTGTGCACACGTGTGTGTGTGTGTGTGTGAGGCCCGTGTGATGTGGGATGTGTTTAACAATCATCAGGGACGTGTGGCATGTAATGACTTTGTATTTGAATGGGGGCAAATTGGTGAAGTCGGCAAGATGAATAAGGTTTGAGAAGGCCACTGTGCCACCCAGTCAGTTAGCTCATAAGAGATGGTTATTGAAAATGTTTGACAGCTGCTTGAGATGCAGTCACGTTTAGACGTTATATAAATCTCACACTTATGTAATTGTATGAAGTCACCAATGCTCAAACGAGCACTGGGCGGTGTTCATCGCAATAGACAGCGTTTACACTGGTGGTGGAAATTCCACATTCCTATGAATTATCATGACCCCCCGTCTTTCTTAATATAAACAAGATAAAGGTGCAATCCTGCAATTGCCTGCTCACGCCACTGCTGCCAGTAAGACCTCCACTCCTGGATGGAGCTCTGCAAAGTCTCTGTGGTGTATTTGGCATATTCTTCCACACTATCCGGACGTCTTGGAAGAGATTGGAGCGACCCACACTTTTGCCCACCGCATGCAACCTGCTGATTGGCCAACTCTGGTGTACCTGCTGGGTGGACACATGCGGTAGGGAGGGCGGAGGTGGAGGGTGATTAAAATTCAGTTGCACAATTGTTTTCACTTCCGCGCCGGTAAATCGAACAAGCGAAAACCTCCGGATCGCAAGTCCAATGTGCTAACCATGGTAACCGACGGCAGCATCTGTCTCTCTGTCGCGTTAATTTTCTTCTGTGGTGCCCTCGCTGCTTCTCTGCCGTGGCTTTGGGCTCACACGCAAAGTGAAAGCCCCTACTAATGGGGAAGTCTGTAAAACTCACAGCAGGACTGGCAGACGTCGAAGGAAGCAAAAGCGACCCCGCCCCAACTTGCTCGCACGTGGCACCATGGCAGCTTACGTCTTTGATCAGATCCGAATCGTCGTGATCTATCCACTGCTGAATGAAGGCCTCCCCAAAAGCCGTTTGGCCACCTCGCACGATTGGATGGTTCAGTCTTGCCGGTTTCATTGCCCAGCCTTAAACTTTCAAAATAAATTGTCATCAATCTTTCCATCATTGGTTGGATGGCAAAGGGAAGCGGGCAACGGACGATACAAGAACAATTCTTTTTTTTTCGGACCGAATTTTTAATTTAGTGACGGGCAATTTGTCGCCCCGGTTTTTCTTGAAGTCGACTCATCTGGAAATCAAAATGTGTATTTAGACTGGAGGAATTCGTTGAGCTATCAAGATCTTTTTTCCACAGATGTCCAGTATGGGTGGGTAAGCATCCTTTTTTGCTCACTGGCGAAGACCTTAAAATAATTCTAACCTGCACCGCCTCAAAAAGATTACTTCTCTTCATGGAATGAATATATCAGTGTAGATTATTTGATGGGCTTTACTAAAACGGGCCGAAATTTTTCTCATTCATCTCCTTGTAAAACAGTGAGCAGTTTAATATATGAATACTCATTTTGAATATACTGTACATGGAAATTTTACATTTGCCTGGGGAAACCTGGCAAGACCCTCAGGCAAAAGTCATGAGACTCGGTGAGTCTTACCCTGGGCAAACACACATAATTATAGTAATAACACCGCTACGATACTAAATAAATTAATAGGCGCATGTGAGCCTCTCTCCTTTTCTAGTGCCTAGCAAACTACTTGCTACAGCTGCATCTTCTGTAGGTGAACCACCGCTGCCCCAGTGCCCAAGTACCCGAGCGAGTCCAGATTTCAATGATAGACGATGCGAGCTCTGCGAGTGGTCTTCGTCGAGAGGGGGGCGACAGAGCTGAACTCGCTCCGGCGATCTCTCGCCGCCGGATGATTAATAATAATAATAATGAAAGTTCAATTTATAACGCGCGCAAATTTGCGGACGTAGTGGCCGCAACTCAGAGGTGCTCGAAAGCGGAGAAGATATCAGAAACAGAAGAAAAAAAATCAAAAAACCTCCCACCGTCTTTCATTGCCCGGAAAAAGTAAAAAAACTAAAAATTTCGTTAACCGGTTTACGGCTGTGTCTCGTTCACCGGGTGTGTCCGCTCGCAGGGTCCCGCGCCGCTTGTGCCGCCCTGGCTTATGAGTGTAGCCTCTGGGCTCAGCTCAGGACCCCTAGGTGGCCTGGGCAGGATGGCAAGGCGCCTGCACAGAGGGGGGGCCTCAGAGGTAACGTCGTGGGTCTGAAGGGGGGGGACACCTTGCACCAAAGGAACTCCCCACCCCTTCCCCCCCACTGTGAAATTTATTTATTTCGCGAATGTCTCATTTTAATTTTCTATCCCCACCGCCACCATCCCCCCCCCCCCCACCGCCACCTCCATTGAAGCGTAATTTAATTTTGATATTTATTCGAGACATCCCATTGCTTTAGCTGATGCCTCCACCTCATCCGTCCAGTGCCATTAAGTCAGTGCACAAGCCACCCATGTCGCGGTTACACCGGCCAGAGTTGGCAAACGTAAATTATTTTACTTTACTTTTGCCGGCCGAGTATGTTTCGGTGAGCAATTGCTGCGTCGAAACAACGGCGGCAGGCATTGCTCGGAAATACAATGAGTTAGTTTGAATTTAAAAATATATATAATCAAAAAGAAACATTGGCTGTTGAAATAGCTGCTTGTGTAGATATGCACATTCCCTTTCTTCCGCATCATTGGTGTTACATTTTAATTATCCCTCTATTGCAAAACTCATTGGTAATGGTAATTATTCCGAAATTGATCGTTCTCCTGGGGCCATCTTAAGTGCAATACTAGAGGGTGGGGACTTCCTTTTTTATTTTTTACGTACGCAGCATGAACTGAGAAAGAAAATTCCGAATCTTGTCGCATAACATCTGCAATTGATTTGAGAAAACATAATATCCACCGTTTATTTAATGAATGCAGACATTAAATCATTCCTTCACGGAGTTGGCTCTTCATATTTTGGGACGACGATCCAAACGCTCTCCGCCGTGATTAAATTCCACATTGGCCAATTAATTGGCTGCCTGGTGATGAGATTCGCAGGGATGGGGCGGCGAGCAATGACCGAACGAAATAGCCGGCGTAATTAATGCCCCTCGACGACACGCCAGTCCTTGCCTGTCACGGCCGTGCTTGGCTCGGGCGAGCGTTGGTTACCGCTGCGGCTTAGGGATTGCGTCGCCCCGAATGAATTCTCAAAAATCGGGGCCTAGGCATGACATTTCGAATTATTTTATATTTTTTTGTTCGTTTCTTCTTTCCGATTGAGCACGAGGTCACAGGAAATTACACAATTTGTACGATACCGCTTCTGCGCTTTTCCCTGCTGATGGAAGCGTCGCGTGGATGTCGCGTGACGTCAGTATTGTTAGCACAAAGACACGTTAAATCATTATTACAGAAGGTAAACATTCTTAAAATCGGGCCTACGTACGAAATTTCGGGTGATCCAAATTCCCCCAAAAATCCCCCCCTGCAAAAAATATCCCAAAAATGTTCCTGAAAAAATATCTAAATTAAAAAAACTGGCATTTTACATCCGAAACTCATCCCTAAGCATGGCGCTACCCAGGGCCACAGACTCTGTGGCGACGACGATGCCTGAGCGTGCGTACGTGCGTACACGTTCACGCCACGCGCTCATCCACTCTCTCTCTCTCTCTGGTGCACTAACCCGCACGGCACTGCGTCTCGCCCATCGCCGCTCGTGCTAAACATTTTGCATGCCGGCTGACACCACCCGCTACTACCACCACCACCACGACCATCGCCACCATGTGTGTGTGGTTCGCTTGCGCGCTGGTACGCACGCACGCACGCACGTGCGCTTGCAGTGTGAAGCTCTGCGTGGGCGCGCGTGAGATACGCGCGCGGTTCGAAGGGAACGCGACGACGTTTTCTCTGGTCGCGATTCGCGTGGCCCGTTGCCAAGTGGTCGTCATTTGTTTTTCTGGTCCAATTTTGGCCGAAACGTGCCGATCGCTGCGACATATTCAACAGCGGTGCTAAATTGCCGAGCCGGTGCGCTTCAGCCGTTCTGCTGACGCGTCAATCCGTCGCTTCGGTTTTTCCGCGCGGCGTTAATTGATGACCCGGTACGTGGTTACGTAACAGGTGATGGTTGACCTCTAATATTTCAGTTAGAATTCGTCTGCTCCGTTGCATTTGTATGTGTGGGAGGTGGGGGGGGATTCATTTTGAGGATATTGTGGTTGCGTCAAACAGCATTTGCTCACCTCCCAAATCTCAGATTAAAGCATCTCTCTGTATATATGTGTGCGCAAGTGTCTTGGGCCTCCCCTAGGTCGACTCGGCCTAAAACTAGTACCTGGTGCGATGTGTAAAAATCATCGCCACTGTGGAGACAAAGGCGGTCAGGCGCGGTGCTGGCCACCCACCTCCCCCTCGTGTAACGTGCCAGCCTCACTGACAGCACTTGCCCCAACAGGCCGTTCAGGCTATACGGGGGATTTTTGCCTTTACTTTTGTGTGCAAGTGTGTATGTGTAATTGTATACACGAGTCTGTGTTTGCGTGTGTATTCATGTATTTGTTTATCTACCCACATATATATGTGTTTGCATATTAATGTGTAGGTCTGCATGTGTGTGTGTTTGTATGTATGCACGTGTGAGTGAGAATGGTATGCGTGCGTCTCTTTATTTCTACTCGTAGCCACATGCATACGAACCCAGAATCTGACGAACCCTCTAATGGGATCACCCACGATTATGATAGTGGGTTTTGCAATGCATGGGGACGGCTCACTTGGAAGGGGTCACGTAAGCTCCGCGAGCGATTAACGCCACTGATGGGATCGCTTTCTCGCCATCGCCGTTTCACGACAAGGGGGAATGAACGAACGAAAGAATGAAATCTATTTTTTTTTGTTAAACCCAAGCCGGCCATTGGCTCGCTCGCCGGCGAGCATCCGCCCTCTGCCCCAAGTGGCGGATGCGGGGTTGCCATGACGACCGCTCTCGGTTGCTGTGGATACGCGAGAGCAGTGATAACTCGTGGCTGCGGCGGCGGCTAATGGGAAGCGACGAGCCGGGGAGCAATGCTCAGAACCACGTGCAGCAACCGCTCCCTCCAGCACTGCTCCTTTAGCACCCACCACCTCCCCGCCAGCGCCCTCTCCCCTCTAGCGCCCTCCCTCTCTCTCCACTACTTCCTCTCCCTCCAGCACTCTCTCCCTCTCTCTCCAGCACTCTCCCTGTCTCTCTCTCCACTACTCCCTCTCTCTCCACTACTCCCTCTCCCTCCAGCACCCTCTTTTTTTTACGATCAGAGGAAACAAGAAGATCCTCGGTGCAGTCGGCACTTTGATTCGTTCATCATTTCGTTTTTTTTTTATGCTTTCATTTATGTTCCCCCCCCCCCCTCTCACTCTCTCGCTCACTATCTCGCTCGCTCTCTCGCTCACACTCTCGCTCACTCTCTCGCTCGCTCTCTCGCTCGCTCTCTCGCTCGCTCTCTCGCTCGCTTTCTCGCTCGCTCTCTCGCTCGCTCTCTCGCTCACTCACTCACTCTCTCGCTCTCTCGCTCGCTCTCTCGCTCACACTCTCGCTCACTCTCTCGCTCGCTCTCTCGCTCGCTCTCTCGCTCGCTCTCTCGCTCGCTTTCTCGCTCGCTCTCTCGCTCGCTCTCTCGCTCTCTCGCTCGCTTTCTCGCTCGCTCTCTCGCTCGCTCTCTCGCTCGCTCACTCACTCTCTCGCTCTCTCGCTCGCTCTCTCGCTCGCTTTCTCGCTCGCTCTCTCGCTCGCTCTCTCGCTCGCTCACTCACTCTCTCGCTCTCTCGCTCACTCTCTCGCTCGCTCTCTCGCTCGCTCTCTCGCTCGCTCTCTCGCTCGCTTTCTCGCTCGCTCGCTCTCTCGCTCGCTCTCTCGCTCGCTCACTCACTCTCTCGCTCTCTCGCTCGCTCTCTCGCTCGCTCTCTCGCTCACTCTCTCGTTCTCTCGCTCTGTCGCTCGCTCTCTCGCTCGCTCTCTCGCTCGCTCACTCTCTCGCTCTCTCGCTCTCTCTCGTTCTCCCTCTCGCTACAACAAGTGTTGCATCTGCACGCAGCCCTTCTCGCAGTCCAACGGCCTCCGACAGGTAGCTCATATCTGCATTCAGAGCTCTCCGTCATCTGTCACCAAGCACACGGCCTCCTCCAGCGCCCACTGCTCCCTCCTCTCTCTCTCTCTCCACTACTCTCCCCCTCTCTCTCTCTCCACTACTCCCTCCAGCATCCTTTCTCCAGCATCCTCTCGGTCTCTCCACTACTCTCCCTCTATTTCAAGACGCCCCCCCCCCCTTTTTCCCACCAGCACTTCCCCTCCCTCTCTCTCTTTCTCTCCAGCACTTTTCCCTCTCTCCTCTGCACTCTCTCTCCAGTGCCCACGCGTTGACTCCTCCGCCTGCCAGCCCCGGCCACCGCACGCCGTGCCCCTCTCGCCCAGGGGTGGTGAACCGAAGGTTCGCGTGCGACAAACCAATCTGACAATTAACTTTGCACGGCCCGTGGCCGCGCGGGCGAGGCCTACCGCTCAGAAAAGCGCCCGCAAGCAAACTATATTTATCCATCAGCACTCGCGTCCTAGCCGCACTAATCGGGTACCGGGGGGCGGACTATGGTCGACCTGGCAACACCACCACTGTTTCTGTTTTTAGCACGCTCGGTCACCTGTTGTCTTTCACGAGCAGTTCTGAGCCCCGCTCAGTGGACGCTCACGAGTCCTAGCCGGATCAAATTTTAATGTCAACTAATGCATGGTCGCCCGCCAAAGGCGTGCGAAAGTGTGACTCGCCCCCCTCCCCCAGTAATGAAAAAAAGGGAGCCGTCCACCTTGGCCAGATCAAACTCAATATCCGCCGCGCACGGACTCAGAACCGTCAGAAAATATAATGCAATTCAATTCGTTTAAACACGCGAGGGTTCAGCGGTCAAGAGAGATGCCAATCACGGTTTGGTCGACGATAAGCAGGTGGCAGCCCGCTGGTGCGTTGTCATTCGGCTCCAGCTCCGCGACACCGCCACCCCCAAACCGACCCAAAGTCACCGTGGCCACGCCGGCCTTATTTAGGGGCAGGGACGGCGCGCGAGTCCGGGACCCGTGGCGTCAGCGGCGGCTCGGGTTGCCGCTGAAAATAACTGGACGTTGAGTCCCGCTCTCCCCCCCCCGTCCCCCCCCCCCCCCCCGACCGGCAGCAGAATGTTCCCTCTCTCACAGCGGCACAGAATCGGTCTCCGGGACCCCCACGGGAGGGGGGGCGGGAAGGGGGGCCGGGGGCGATCAGAGATCCCTTGCGGCAAATTAAATTATTCGAATGAGATGTGTGCCGTGATGTTTTTTTTACCAAGTAGATGGGTTAACTAATAGCGAGGGGTTATAATTGATCGGTCGTTAAGTGGTCGATTGATCAGTAATCGCAGAATAAACGCGTCAAAAGAGCAATCCGCAAGACCCCTCCTTAAGTGAATCTCCTGAAAGGCGCGGTGGCTTTCTTGGAGAGAATGCCGTCATAAACGAATAGATTTGTCAATTAAACTTGCACGTGACAACACTAGCTTCCTGCCTTGGCCAGACGCGACTGAATGCTTCCCCAGTGTGGGTTGGTGACGTGAGGAGCGGTGGTGGGAGACGGTGGCCAGGACAGGACCTGTTCAGATGCCACTCACCACTGACGTTAACCATGTGACAGGAATTAAACTAAGGTCGTCATGGCCTTGGAGGAGTGCGCTTCACCAATGCGCCACCGCTTCACCCAACCCAATTCATATAAATACGAAAATTATTAAGTTTCGCACGCACAATTCGATGTATCTATGTATGTTGAACTGTTTTGGGAGCGGTAGTGTAATGGTAAGCTCGCTGCGCTATGAACCTAGCGACCCGAGTTCGATTCCCATTCACGGCCAACGCCGATGACGATTATCTGAACCGGTCCTGGGACGACTCAGCCTCAAATGAGTACCTAGTGTCATGTGTAAATACTTCACCAGTAGGGAGACAAAGGCGACCGGGCGTGGTGCTGGCAGGCCACCCCCTCGTGTGCCATGCTGGCCTTCATAGATGCTCGCTAACAGCTCTTTCCCCAACAGTCTGTAAAGCCTATACGGGGAATCTTTGTCTTTTTAACTGCTTTTGCACCGTGCATAGCCAACCGTGCTAACCAGAGGTGCAGAGAGATGCGCTGTGCGTGTACATTCACCATGGAAATGGTATGCCCATATCCTCGGTACATGAAAGTGTATTCTCTCATGTGGAAACACTGGCTGCAGCCACGGTGTCACGAGCGTAAGCAATCGATTGGAATTGAGAAACCGAATACTTGATCAATTGACCCGGCCACCCTATGAGAAGATCAGCTGGGCCGCATTCTCCCTGGGCCTCAGATCTGATGGGGCCCTCAGCGGGGACCTTATCTGGCATTTTGCCCCAGGCCTCCAAAAAAATTCCTTGACCCTGCTGTAAGGGGTCACATTTTAGTCGCTGATCTTCGCCACTCTCTTTGATTCCACGAGGCTGTTGGAAGAGGCTGTTCTCACAGTGTCTGTTGTGAGCCGCTGTGTCTACACCGGTGTTCGCGATTATAAAACAAATAAATTATGCAACAGAAAATGTGAGCTCAGTCACTTTGGCAGAAGGCAGCGGTGGGGGGGGGGCAGAGGAGGCAGACGAAAACAAAGACCCAAGTGAATCATGTGACGCTCATGAATGCCGGCCCATGTCACCTCAAATGCACCCAACCTCATCATATCTTGGAATCTAAGCATATTCTAGCCTGGATAATTTTGGACTGGAGACCACCATGCGCCACCGATTATTACGGTTGGCTACGTTCAACATACATACAGTGCATAGGCAGCTGATGGGGCCTGCTATGTTGATTCATCCTTTGTGCAAACGTCGCTGACCGGAACGGCACTGCCCGACTTAAAACGTCTCTGTACTCCTACAGGCGGGGGGGGGGGGGCATTCCTCCACCTTTGATCTTGGAGCCACGAAGTCGAATTCAGCAACTCGTGCTTAAAGCTCAGCGAATGCCTGACGATTGCAAACCCCAGCGGCACCGCCCCCCCCCCACCCCCCTCGAGCTAAATTTGTGGCTCGCAGAATGCGGCCCTCGTGTCGTCGAGAGCCCCCGAATGCCGCAGAGCCCGAGTTGACACGGCTGAGTGGTCGCGCCTTTCACCGCTTATCGTCAGATGTTCACGGATCGAATGCGGCGGCCACCCTGGTTAATACTGTGGGTTTGGCGCATTGTTAAAACAGCGGGTATTGAAGGTCCCGGTGTGCAATCCTGAAATGGTGTAGGTCATGTTTGACAACAACATTCATCCACATTTTACGATTTACCCACGAATTACCTTAATTACTGGAAAAAAAACGGTTAAAAGCACGTGGCAATATCGCCCCTTACTCGCGGATGATACCCACCTGTGAGGCATAGCCTGGTTAGTGCAGGTCGGTCAAGGGGGGTTGCCCAGGACCTGGCCAGATATCGACCGCCGCTGATGTTAGTCATTGCCGGGAATCGAACTCGGGTTGGGTTGGCTACGCGGCACATTGCGCAATCCGCTCCGTCACCGCTCCACGTACGCCACAGCTCACACCTCGTGTTCACTGAAACGGAGCAGCGCCAGTGGGCAATGTGAGAGTATCACAATAAACCGTGACGCTGCAAGTAAAAACAACGTTGCAGGCTGTGGTGCTGACCCCTGGCACGTGTGCGGCATGGTGCGGTTCTGTCCTCAGCAGGCACCGGACGCGGTGCTCGTCGCGCTGGTGGGGCTGCTGGTTCTGGGCCTCGCCATCCTCTTCGTTCACCTCCTCACGTGAGCTCCCCTCTTTGCCGACGAGGTGAGGGAAGCGGCGGTGAGGAGGGCGGCGCCGACGGCGGAGCTCGACACTCCGTGGGCGATGGCACCTGCTGGGGAGGGTCGCCACCTCGAATTTTGCCGCCTCGCCACCACCATCACCATCACCAAGTTCCCCCCCCCTGCCGCCTTCCCACAATGCCCTCATATCCCACGAGCCGACTTGCCGTGGTTGGCGGCGCTGGGGGAACGAGGTGTGAACTTTGACCTCTGCGATCACCGGTGCAACGGAGTGGAGTAACAAGCGTGGACTTTGTCGAGACAGCGAACAAAAAAGTGCTTTTGTCTTATCACGTTGTTTGCTCTCTCGTTTAATTTCTTTTCTGCGTGTGGTTGGGAAAAAAAGTTAATTGGGCATGGCGTGGGTGCTTGGGGGTGGTGTGGGAAAGCACAAAACTAAACAACAACAAAAAACGAAACGGTCTTTCCCGTTTAAAAATCGTGGTAATATTTTTGCAGGATGGATAAAGATGAAAAAAAAGAAAAAAATTGAAAAAATAAATGTTGGTTGGTTGAAAGAAAATTTGAAGAAAAATGAAAAGTCGCGAGCAAATCTGATGTCTCAAAACAGCATCGGCCATTTCACACATAGGTACAGTTTCCCAAGAGAGACGTTTTCTTCCATTTTCTTACAACTTTCTGCAAAAGTCTATTTTTTTGGAACGAAGAAGTTTAAATATATAAACGATTGCAAATTGATTTCGTATCTACACCGCGTGGCATTTCGGCATGTGCATTTAGTATTTATACAGTGTCCGTAGCCAAGGGATTCTTAGCCGATGTTGTTGTCGGAGCGTGCTCGGTGTTATTAACGTATTATGCATGATGCAAGTGCCCTCCCGAAGCAACCAGCAAAGTTCACGCGTCGATTTACATGAAGTGCCAGTTGCGTGCACCCACGTGCAGTCACGGCTTCACGAGAGGTTGGCTCGATGGAGCCGTGCGGGGTGATTTGGGGGAGCAGAGGGGTGGCCGAGAGGTAGCGCCGGACGGAAAACGTTTTGGGCCAGGCGACACACGTCACGACAAACAGAGATGCGTTCGTGCCTCGCGCGAACCTCTTAATCCTCCCGAGGAGGAAAGTTTCCGAGCTATCAGGCGTGTAACAATTCACCAGCCCCCCCCCCCCCCCCCTGAACCCCTTACACCAACACCTACCACTAATTCTGCTCCTCCAGTGATCCGATCAATTGTCGCGATGCAGGGTAGGCGAATTGATTGAACAAATCAATTAATCATTCTCCCCGTTCGTATCGTCCCAACGTTTCGTGATTTCACCGGCGTACTTTTATTTTGTCGCGATAGGCTAAATATACTACGCGTGCTACTTGCATAAATTTCACGCGGTCGATTTGTTGACGCATGTACCACGAGTGTGAGGATCGACGTTGGCAATCGACTGATCGATGCGTCGTTACGTGCCAGTGTCAATTCACCTCCTCTGCATGCCTGCATTGGCCCCTGGCAACAAACGCCCACGGAGTGGTCGGCTCAGTTTTGAATCCTTTCCGTGTTGTTTTGTTGGGTTGTTTTTTTAATCCACGCTCAAAAAAACAACGGGAGAACATTCGAGAGCAGAATTATTGGGATTCTTAGGGCTTCTAGGTGGTTGTGGCGCAGAGTGCCAGGTACCCAAATAGAGCAATAAACAAAACAATACGCATTCTAATGACACAGCATCTGAACTTGTAACTTTACATTCGTGTCAACGTGTATTATTTTAACGGTGCATGTCTATCCGTGTCCCTTGCTCGATTCCAATGTCTGAGTTTTTATATTTGAAGGGGCCCTTTCACACTGAATCCTGAGACCAGGTGTTGCCAATTGGACTTCACAATTAAAATCCAAAGTGCCTTCGTGGATGTAGGCGCCACGGTGGCGAGATGTTAAATGCCTCGCCTGGTATACAGGAGGTGTTGGACTCGATCCTGACCCTGACGCCTGTATATTTGGAATTTGCATGTTCTTCCCGTGGTCGCGTGGACATTACTCCCAGGTTCTCCGGTGAATCCCTCCACATTTATAATCAATATCACACGTTTAGAGTATTTGGCTGCTATAAATTTCACATGACATCGTTTGTGGCCAGGTCGCTTCAGAAGAAGAGCTACACAGCATCAGTCTGGCCTTACCTGATAAAAAATAAGTTGACCCCATACCCCTAATCCGGAGCCGCCGGAGGCTTCGTACTGATCCTCCCGGACCCAGGCCATCACGAGGCACAACCGCTGCTCTGCGACAGGGCACCAGGGGAACACGAGACAACGCCCGCGTCCTGCCGTGTCAAATGTCACGGCCTCCACGCTAGTGATGAACGTACCGCAATGTGTGTCCAGAGTTGGAGGCAGTCAGCAGCTGCGAAGAGGATTGTGGTCGGGGGGAGGGGGGGGAGACGATGATACGAGGCGATTGGGCAGAGAGGTAATGGGAGATCGACAAGATTGTTCTTAAGAAAGTGGCCATTGGCAGTGGGGAGGAGGAAGGTCTTCAGTCTGGACTTGAAGATGCAGTGGGAATCGTCGACGGTGTAGTTGGCACAGCCAGGGAGATGGAGTCACGGGGGCCACCATCCTCTCTCTCTCTCTCTAGGCAGCGTTGTTCCATGAGGTCGCGCGATCTCTCAGGACCTGGAAAAACAATGTTGCGTGGTTCTTGATCGCAAAACGAGAGCCCCACCGGGTCTCAGGACTCTTTTTCAGGGTCTGGTAATTTATTTGTATTTGTTATTTTTTGTTTCAATCGAAAGGTGCCAATGAGAGACGTACATCGCGGTTCGCAACACTAATCTGGCAGCGGTGCGTGTGTCAGTACCGTATTTGAAACCAAACAACAACAGATCTCTTTGTCCGGGACTGTAAAACTATATCCAGCGCGTACATTCCCGCAGCCACGCGTGGTGCAGGTGTGGGCTTTCTGGATCGGGCTACCGTCTTGCGGGCATCTTCAACGATTCGTCTGCTGAAGTCGCCAGCAGCGGGCACGCGGCATTAGCTTGAGAGGAGATTATGCTCGACGCGTGGCCTAACCCAGAAGGCTCGCACTTGGGTGAGCGTTTGGCTTTGCGATGCCTACGGCCTCGCCGAGTGTTTCGATGGCACTGCAGTTTGTTGCCTTTTGCAATCGCGACCCCTGCCCTTCACGATCGCCGACCTCGGTCTGGCTCTGTCATCCCGAGGCACGGCCACTGGTCCCGAAACACCCGTAAGAAAGTGGCAGTCAAGCCGCAAGGTACGGACTCTTCTGGCCCTCGTCGGCCCGTTGGCAAATTTGCTTTCATCCCTCGGCATTCGGTATTGCTGACGGATCGTTCGCACGTACGTACGCGCGTGGGTACGAGCGAGGCATGTGTTTTGCTGGCGCCGCCCGCGCGTCGAGACTTTCGCCCCGCTATGTCTGACCGCAACAATCACGCGGTTTTGTCGGCGCGGCTGTGCCATCCTCACCGGCTGCACGTGAAGAGCACGTTTGGGTTAACGGGACGCCGGGAACCGCAGCGTTTCGCCCGTTGCGCGAGCCATCACCTTTTCGGCTTCGCGGCACGTCAGCGCGGAGAGAATAGTGCCAAATTACCGGTGTGCTGCAAGCTGTTTAACACCAAGGTAGCTTTACGGATGGTCGAATTTCGGGCGATTCGCGTCGGGCGTTTAGTCGCACGACAAATTGCATGCTTAGTTCCGCGCCGCGCGGCCAAGAGGACGCGGCGGGTGGTGGTTTTTAAACCGGCGGCGCCCGTCGGCACGCCACTCTGTGGGCCCCGTGAGAAGACGAGGACGTCACGGTACTAACCCCACGTGCCACACGCTGCCCTCTAAAAGTGTCGCCGCGCGCTGGAAGTTGCGGTGGGGCGGGGGGGCGGCGGGGCGATGTCTTGCGTTTGAACCGTGCGAAGTGCGAATGAACCTGTGCTAATTTTGGTAATTGTCACCGGTGGTACAGACGCAACGTTCCGTAGGCGTTCCCCCCCCCCCCCTCCCTTATTAAAACGAAGCGTTGCCGCACATCCCGCCAAAAAAAAATGTCACCTGCGCCGTGACGTCCGTTCAGGTCTGTACCGGTTTATATTTTTCACTGCAAGACGAATTTTATCGAATGCTTGCATCCGTGTTGCTTCTGCTTCGGTTAATATCGCACAGATGCTCACGTGTTAAATTTGATATAGAAACCTTTGCACCGTTAACGAGTTAATGTTTGCTTAGGCAAGTTTTATTATTTAGTGTATGCTCCAGATTATTCTTTTAAATACTGTATATTGGTCATATTTTGACTGACTTCCTCTTAATTGCGAGTAATTAAGGTAGGGCACTACGTGAGCCGAGTATTTGACCTATTTTCCGAGCATTGTTCGTGTAAGTTACATTTTCGCTAAATAATTGAGCGGTTTCTGACAACGCCTCTGCCTGAACGCGTAATTTTACATCACGCTCCTTGCAATTCGCTTAACTGTTGTAACATTTTTTTTATTTTCCACGTGTTTTTCACGTGGTATTTCCAGACGGTCATGTTAACGCTGGATAAAATGAACGATTTTTTTCGTCCTGAATTTATGGAGTTGGAAACAGCATGAAATGTGTTTAAACAAGAGGAAACATACATTTTACATGTACGGTTCACAGAACTAATGAAGTAAAAAAACGCATGGCCTCCTGTCAATCTATTTAATAATTTATGTAATTTAAATATGTACGGACAAAATTATTTAATGCATGCATTATAAATAATAACTATATTTGCACCCCCACTAACCCAATTGGATCGTGATTTGATGGTGTTGGAAATATCGTTGCATTTTGTGCTTAAGTCATGGAAACCCTGCGACTAACAAAAAATATTTCAGCTGAATTAGTTTCTTTGTAAACGCTCACCTGAACCGCACGATACTCTATTAGAGAAGTGAGCGTCCCAACACGCATGGAATTTTCCCCGTAGTAGGAATTCGAATGTGGTCGAAAGCCGGTGACCAGGATTATTTTAGTAATGCTACTTTTTGTTAAATCAAAACTTAGTTTGGCAGTAGCGTATATTCTACTTTTAGAACAAATGTTGTTAAATGAAGGAAATATATTTGAAAAAAATCCTAAAGTTATTTGCTTTTCTTTTAATATTTTTTTTAAGGAAAGCCCCTGCTATTCTTGACATGATCATACCCGAGGTGTAATGCGCACCTGGGTTTCGGTCGTATTTTACGATTACAATATCTCTCGACTGTCACTTACATTTTTCTCCATCGTGACATGCCTTAAATAATTTTCCCCGAATCGCAATGCTTACGCACACACCTCTGAGATCGGTGCCAGCAGTACAGCTTCTGGATGCAATTACCAGCGAAACGTCGTACTCAAATTGTAAATGTTGTGGTTTCACGCTTCAACACACCGGTGGGCTCAAGCAGTGAACTATTTGTCTTTTGTCAACGTGACACTTTTTTACTGATTGGCCGTGTCGGGTGGTGGAGGGTTACGACACATTTATAAATAACGCGATCTAAACCCAAAAACGTTGATTATGAATGATTATGAGTACAGCTTCTGCTTACGATCCAGTTGGTCTACATCGTCATAATCGTCGTCGTCATGTCTCTCTCTCTCCATTAACATTTTGTCCATTCCACGATAACGGAACGACAAGCACGTCGTGGGTAATATCGGACATCAGTAGCCGTGGACATTTTCAGCGTCGCACCGTTCTGCTGTATCAGCACTTTGAGACTTCACGAGACACGGCCAAAAGGCCACGCCAACGGTAACATTTCCCTCTCGTCAAAACTTACGCGCCGCCCTGTGCTGTATTGTCGCTGCCGAGGAATTGATCGTCTGCATTATCTTTTATACGCCCGTTTGTGCATGTCAATTCGATCCAGATAATAATCAGTGACACGGACGAATTTTCTAATATTACGATTACAATCACCGGTTTATAAACATTCATATTTAGTGCAGTTGTGCATGGTTTGTTTAACACGTAGGGCTTTCGCGACCAATATTATTCATAATCAATGTTTTTGGGTTTAGATCGCGTTATTTATAAATGTGTCGTAACCCTCCACCACCCGACACGGCCAATCAGTAAAAAAGTGTCACGTTGACAAAAGACAAATAGTTCACTGCTTTAGCCCACCGGTGTGTTGAAGCGTGAAACCATTCTGGCGAATTGCCCGATGATGCTGGATGCAATTACCAGCGAAACGTCGTACTAAAAAAAAAATGTTTTGTAAATTTTGTGGTTTCACGCTTCAACACACCGGTGGGCTAAAGCAGTGAACTATTTGTCTTTTACGACACATTTATAAATAACGCGATCTAAACCCAAAAACGTTGATTATGTGCATGGTTTATGATGCAAGCCAATTTGGGGGTTTTCGTTCCCCCCGACGGTTTTACTAATATCTTGATTAAATAATGTTTCGCAGCCCTTTGTTGATCCACCGCTGAATTAAGGCCCTTCCACGACACGTTGGGCGTCGGGAGTTGTTTGACCATACTTGACCATGCTGGTCAGTGCGAGTTGGTGAAGTCGGGGTCGGGGGGAGGGGGGGGGGTGCGCGGTGTGGGGGTTGGGGTGGTGGGGGCGGGGTGGAGTGGGGGGTGCCGAGGACCGGTTCGTATGACGGTAGCCACCCACGTGAGTGAGCCGTGGCCACGAATCGAACTCAGGTGGCTGGGTCACGTCGCGTGAAAAGCGTTACTCACCGCGCCGCCGCCGCCGCCGCCGCTGCTGTGCCACGTCAATAAGTATCGAGGCGTCCATCACTATCAGGGACGCGTCTTTCGGAAACATGCGATTTTTTTACCTTTGACAGCGTAAATGAGTGACGTCAATTTTTACACTTTTGAGGAGCGGGGGGGGAGAAAACAACCTGAAATTTGAAATTTACCTTAATGATTTTTTTTCTTTCCAAGATATAATTTCCACGATAATTTCACCCAACATTTAAAAAATTTATTTCAAAGAAGTCACTGTCAGTCCAATGGCTAAAAGTACTGTTAGGTTTCATGAAACTTGTAAGTGACTCTCTTCAAACTTGAAAAGCATAACCCCCCCCCCCCCTTTTGCATGCAAGATTTGGCCCTCACGGCATACCATAACATGCCTGTTTCAGGGTTAAATTATTTATTGAACATATGAAACGTTGAAATGTGATTTCTGCAACTCCGTGACGAAACTCTCATTGAGGAGGATGAGGAGGCATTGTGTGTGATGCGTTTTATAGCCGCGTCAGTAAAAACGAGCGATGACATTGAAACACAATGTACAAACGAAAGGGCTTTTTTTCTAAGTTGGGTCTTGAAGAAACCGTAACATGCATATCGCTAAGCTGTGCGGAGTGGGTCGGAGGGAGAAGCTTTCTTTTTTTTTACGATCAGTGGAAACAAGAAGATGCTCGGTGTAGTCGGCACTTTGCATCGTTCATCATTTCGTAAAAAAAAATTTTTTTTTTTAATAACTTTGCTTAATGTAAACCCCCACCTCTCGCTCACTCTCTCACTCACTCTCTCGCTCACTCTCTCACTCACTCTCTCGCTCACTCTCTCGGTCACTCTCTCGCTCTCTCTCTCTCGCTCACTCTCGTTCTGCACGAAGCCCTTCTCGCAGTCCAACGGCCTCCGACGGGTAGCTCATATCAGCATGCAGAGCTCCCCGTCATCTGCCACCGAGCACACGGCCTCCTCCATCGCCCATTGCTCCTTGAAGGCCGGCACGGCATGGGTCAGCTTTCAGTTTCTCGGCGACGTTTGGATTGTTATTGTACGTGTTGTTATCTTGGGTTTAGATGGGGAAGTTGAGGTAGGTTGCCCGATGACCGGAAAGCGAATTGATTTTTTTGGAAAAAGTTATTTTAAAAATGTCCACCCGCCGATATACATTGTATAAGCGTGGGGGGGGGATAAAATAGTACTTTAAAAAATGTCTCCGGAGGTGATTGAAACCAGTGCCATTTACGGAGATGTTTTGGGTGTGGAGGGGGGGAAGAATGGTTCGTCATGGTGAAGAGACCAGGCAGAAAAATCACGATCGGTTTTTTTGTTTTTTTTTGCGTGAATGTAAAAGGACGCAACTGCGAGCGGGGCGACAAAAAAAATCTTGCAAAAAAAAACACACGACACTCGACGGCAAAGGACGCTGCGGTGGGCAAATGCCAAACGCGTCGGTGAGCACGGTCCTTGTGGGCGACGCATGGGCAACGCGGGCGAGATTTAGTTTCACCCTCGTCACACGGGGTGAGCGGGGAGAGAGGGATCGAATCTCACCGTTTCAATTCCAGAGTTCAGTTCGCTCCTGTCAAATATAGTAGAACCAACCCTGCGCATTCTATCTGCTCGCCCCCTTAACCCCCTGCACGCCCCGTATCCCCCACACCCCACGACGCTAGGCCCTGTCGATGCGTGGCCCCCTGGGTGAGCGTCGTGACACTTGACCCAAAGGCCCCCCCGCCCATCTCGAGCCGGCCCTTCTCGCCAGCGGCCGCGGCAGGCCACCACTGCCGGCGCTGCCACCCTCTCGTTGGAAGATAAGCGCGACAGCTGAATCGTGGGGAATGTCGACGGGGCGAAATAAACAACGCCTCCTCTTCTCACAGTTGTCTCTCTGCACGTAAACAGTAACGGTGGGTTTTTTTGTAACGCAACCCCATCGGCCGCACGGTTAAAATGCCAACTTGTTTACCTTTTGATAACTTTTTTTTTTACAAGCGGAAATTATCAAAAGAGAGAGAGAGAGAGAAAAAAAAATGCCCCTTCATGTGGATCATTAAACTTTTTACGAAACCTCCGTACGCGTAAATGCTTTTCGACTACGCCAAGGGCTTGCGGTTCTAATGACTGTGACTCAGAGGATCAGGGTTGTACTGTACTGCCAGAAAATTTTAAACCATGCGATATTTCTTTATCAATGCAAGTGTACACGGAAGAGTTATTGCCCGGAAACCCCCCTCCCCCCCCCCTTTTTTTGTTGCTGTATACCAATGTAAACGACATTTTAAAAATACAAAACAAAACAATTATTGTTTTAACCGAGTAACCTTTTTTCTTCTTCTTCTTCTTCTTTATCATATCTGCCATGAATTGTCTCTGTGGTTGTGCGGCGTGAAGCGGGCGGCCCGTCTTCTGGATGTCACCAGACGGTTTTGGTGACGAGTGCGAGGGTTCTGCACCCGGCACCTGGCTAGCGTTTGCGCGCAGCCAGAGCGGATATCGCAAGCGCTTGCTGTGGTTTTGCCACCTGTTCTGGTTTCCCCGGGCTCTGTGCGAGGTCGCCATCGCTTAGAAATCTGTATGTTCCCGCAGGACATGAAAAGACTCATATTTTTCTTCTTGATTCTTTTGGTAAAGTCGCGTAGAAGGGAAATAATAAAATAATAAAAATAAAACATGATAAAATAATTCTCACGACGTTTCGGCCACAACGCAAGCAGCCGTCCTCAGGTGAAGAACAGGTCTGTCGGAAAGACAGCGTCTGAATGAAACACCACCAGGCTTGGAGCGTATATTTAAGCTGGGTTGGAGGGGGAAGAGCGCCTTGACAAAATAATTTGCATATCAAGAGGGATTAGTCACTACTTGTGGAATGCGTAGGAGGTGGGCGGGGGGTTTAAAGGTCATAATATGCCCGTGCATTATGCAGGATTAGCAGCATCAAAGACCTGTTTTTCACCTGAGGACGGCTGCTTGCGTTGTAGCTGAAACGTCGTGAGAATTATTTAATTGTTTAATTTTTATTATTTTATTATTTCCCTTCTACGTGACTTTACCGAAAGAACCAAGAAGATGAATCCCTGCAGTCACGAAAGCTTTAAATCGAAATTTGACTCATATTTTGTCAATTGAGTTGTCGTAGTAGCAGTAGTAATAATAACAATACACCACTCAAGACATGCATTTACGCACGGTGGCGAGATGGTAACTACCTCGCCTGGTATACAGGAGGTCGTGGATTCGATCCCGACCCCGATGCCTGTATATTTGGAGTTTGCATGTTCTCTCTCCGTGTGGTCGCGATAATTTTTTTTGGCTGCCATGGTTTTTGCCTCCACATTTAGAATCAACATGACACGTTTAGAGTATTTGGCTGCTATAAATTTCCACACGGTAAGCCACTTCGTTGACCCACCATTTGTGGCCAGGTCGCTTCTGAAAAATACCTATATGGCTCAGTGGGCCTTACCTAGTAAAAGCAAAAATAGCTTCGTTTTTTTTTATTTGTCTTCTACCCACGGCCCATCTGGGTTTAGTTTTTGTTTTGTACCTGAGAAGTGGCAACCCCAGTGGTGGCGGTGTTGTGTTTGCCAGCGTGGCTCTGTCCCGGCCGCAGGTCTCTCGCCCGTTGTGGCTGCGCGCAGCCGGAGGGCCGGGTTTTTATTTGGGTTTACAGAAGTGCTGCGATGGAGCGGTTGGTGCTGGTGGTGCTGCCTTCAGTTTTGCTTTTTCTCACGCCCCTGCCAGCGACAGGGCCTCCCTTGGAGGGAACTCGAGAGAGCCTCTACACGGTGATTTTGGACTACTCTTCCACACCGGTCAGACGTATTGGAAGACGTGGAAGTACCCCCACTTCACCCCCACAACACGTCACCTGCCAATCACAAGTGTGATGAACACACGCAGCTGGGTGGACAGAGGCGGTGGTGGTGGGACGGATTTAAGAAATTTGCACCGTCATTTAGAATCGAACCCTCGGCCCCTGGAATGCAAGTCCAGTGTGCTGACCATTTCATCGTTGTGACAGCTTTCCACTGAAACTTCCCACTGAAGATGTCACAACACGCGAATACCGATGCCAAGTCTCGACAAGAGTTTTTCGATTGATGGCCATTGCGTGGCCCCTGAGTTATGGCCCACTGCGAGATATGTCTCACCAAGACATCAAAGATGCAGTTTAGTGAGATGAAAGCGAGGTGAAGGAGATAGATTAGACAGCTGTATAGACGAGAGGTAAATATTAGTGGTCTCAAGTTACAGACGTTACGATCTTAGGACCCTATGCCATGGTGTCATCGTGTCCTGCCAGAAAATATAGCCGAAGCTCCCTGGTTGACACAACAGTCCTGCAAACCACGTGACTTGATTTATGAATATAAT